ACTTGTACACACCGATATCGGCAGTCTGAAAGTCGTGGATCGTTAAGTCGCCGGTGTCTTTGTGTACTTGGATTTTGTCATAAATATTTTCTATGACTCCCTTCGGACCTGTCCACGTGTAGCCAAAAACACCAGTGATTGAATGTTCAAGCTCGTACTGGTTAGGGATACAGTAAACCACGTATGGCCTGCCTTGTTCTATGTATTCAGGAATAATATTTACTTCTTCGGGCCGCAAAGAGGGCAGACAAAACAAACGCTTTGATGTTATAATAAAGTAAAATGATATTGAAATCAAAACTTCTATAGAGATCTTCATTGTCACTTATAGTTTATTTTTAATATCCAGTATATTAACCTTAACTTAGATTTCTTTCAGCTATTTAGGAATTATTTTCGTAAGTTCTGTGTTGCTAAGATACAGATTAATTGTTAGCGTTATTGTTATCAGCGCGTGCTGTTTATAATGCGAAAACACCAAATCAATAATGTATTTTAAATGTAAAAGTTTAAGCGTCGAAGTGTGACGAAGTCTAAAAGCCAATAATACTAAAAAATATGATAAATGTTACGTATTGTTGTTTGACAATATTTGAGCTAGCGAATACATATTATTGTCAAAGTGAAAATACTTAAAATACTCGTTGGAAAGCTTAAACAAATGGCGTACAAAGAAATATAAAAATTACTTCCCAAATTTTGATTTATGAAACATCCTCTTGAATAAAGAAAAGCTGTTGTCACTGAAACTCGTTGTATCATAGATTTATACCTCAATTCAACAATGACACGTCACTGGTTCACTATAGTTTAAGTCAGTTGTTTATTGTACTACCGACTACTGGGGAACTATAGTGAATGAGTGACGTTTCACTGTTGAATTAATATTGTTGTGGTAGTTATAAAACAGCAAATAATAATATGAAAAAAGCGCCAGTATTTCCACTTTTCATCATTTGTCCAAAGAAACATAAATTTATGACCCATGAATGTGATTTTTTCATGCCAATTCCAAGATTCTCACCATTTACAAATACGCACCTTGGTACATGTGGGAGTTTCTAACAGAACTGGACTTCAACTTCAAACTCCACCTAACTCTCCTATAAAGTTTCACAACGAAACGTCATAATCACACCCCATTTCCATAGAAGACTTTTTAATTGTAACTACTGATTGTAATGGTCACGAACTGTTGATAAAATAAAGTATACATGTTATGAACGAAAATCCAGGCCTCAATAGAAATTTAAACTCTTTCCCCCTTGCTTTATTCAAATAGCTCTTTTTTTAACTGAATATTTTATAAGTTTTCTAACACTATTCATTCTATTTTTAATTGATGTAAAGATTGTTTAGTTGTCATTTTCATAGATTTGCTGAAGATAGTATATGTGTAATTCCGAAACATTTTGATGGAAAGCAGCACGAAAATATATTTCTATAAGCGTTTCCCTAATAGGCAGTACGGCCCATTTCACAGTCAAATCAGTAAGAATACTCTGCCTAAATTATCTATTTAAAAATACCAAAAATTATTTTTTGATACCTGCAGGGGGCAGAGCACAGCTATTTGTGTAGCTTTGTGTTTAACAAAAGCAATCAGTCAAACTCAACATATTGTTGTAAGCCTGTTGTAAACATTGTAGCAAGGACTGTAATTAAATATATCTATGTTGTTGTTTTTTCCTTTAATAAATACATGTTTTGATGCTCGCTACATTTTATTAATATAACAGTAACTGAATGTGCGGTGTTCATTATGTACAGGGTTATAGCTTTGTACAATGGATTTCAGCTATGAAAGTTTTCCAGCTTCACTGACCTCAAATGATTTTGAACAGCAGTGTTTCCTTTAACCTATCAGTTCACAATTAGGTACGACTATGCTCAGATAACCCTCGTGTATCGTTACATTATAGGAATTTAGGTCTGAAAGACCTGGGAGGGTCAGGTTCAAGTGACCTCCTCCTCCCTCTTCTACTATTGTTGATTTAGGTTCTTTTGAATAAAATATGAATACGACATGAGGGCCAGAGTAAACCGCACTTACCCTGAACCCTTTGTCTATGTTGGTTTTAATATTTGTGTTAAATATACTATCTCTTATATTCCGTATTACAGAGTTCTGTCCATGGCGAAAAGTTCAACATATATTTACACACTTCATTAGTTCCAATACTAATCGTGAACAATGTACATTAAAATCCTTTCAATGTTGTCGCATCAGCTTCAAACTAATGTGAGATTTTTGGTCTAGAGTTAAACGGCCTTATTAAATTCTTATATCTAAGATATACGTTAATTGGCGAGAGATACTTAGGTCTATCTTCATCGTGTATGCAATTCGTATAGTAGGTCCTTTTTTGCCAATTTTTCGCGAAGTAATTTAGCGAATTATAAAAGAATGTATAGGAGATGGTTTGTATGTTTGCATAATTGTGCATTATTATGTGGATCGGGGTAAAATCTGAGATTGTTTGTTTGATTATTTTCTCAGTCAAAAAATCATTCACGCTACAGTTCGTGCTCTTTACAAAATTTCATCGGGCCACGGGTTACCGAGTTAGCGCCGTTTTTCGAGTCAGTTTTATGAAAATTTGTAGCATGAGTAATTTTACATCACACTACCGTTCGCTCTCTTTATGAAACTTCTTCGTTCAAATCTATTTCCTTGTCAATGTTCCCATCTTCATTAAATGGCGTAAGATGACAAAAACAAGATCGTGAAGAAGTTCTCAATAATATACCTTGGTTATGGTAGGTAATTCAAAGAAAAAATAAATTGTTACTGTTTTTTATTTGTAGAAGGTTTAAGAGGAAAGACCACAACATAATGAACTAATTCATCACAATACCTGAAAACTCTGACTTTTACTTTTACTCCCGATCAACAATCAAATATCTTTTCTTGAATTATGAATAACATTAATTGATCGAAATATTTAATTAAATTATCTCAAACTAAACCTTCATTTCTGTGCAATATTGAAATTAGCTTGAATTATTCATAACCTCTGAATAGTGGGTGACCCAACGCGTCATGGGTTGTCTGGAATAATGATAAATTTTACACTCTTCTCCCCATAGTTGGACAGCCGTATGTATGCAGGACGCTAGAAACCAGGTTTCTATACCCGTGGTGAGCACAGCATTATATAACCCATTATATAGCTTTGTACTTACTTACAAACAATGAAACAAACAAAAAATTAATAATAGATAAAAGTTATGTGTAAATGACAGCTTCAATTTGCCGATGTGATGTTAATATTTGTTTCTTTAAAATACCTTACTCCAGTTTATTAGCTAACATATCATTTAGCCAATTTCAACAGCTAACATTTAACATTTCCAAATACCATAAATTTAATAAATGAACAATGTATAACGTATATAACCCTATAAAGCTACTGTACAGACTTCAAAACGTTTTGTTCTGTTAGGAAATACCATAAGGAACACTAAAACCTAAGAACATTACATATTCATAACCATGACTTTAGGCCTTAAACGGTGTTCTGTAAGAACCTTAACTTAAGTAATGTAAAAGTTTATTTCATGTAAGCGCTAAAATAATTAACACTGACTACTAACAATAATGTACAGGATCTAGTGGGTTATAGTCGATAATAAAAAGCAATAATTTTGATGATTTTGAGTAAAAGTAAGATAAGGTAGTTGAAAGTTAAAACTAGTAGCCTGTGTTTTAGTTCTAGAAACATCACGTAAGTTTACAGAAACTTGTAACTTACCCATCAGAAGCAGGTTGGAGATTACTAGGATTCACAAATAAAGTATGTACGCTATTCGTACAGAGAGGAGTTAAAGCTAAACCTGAAGCCACAGGGTAATTTATTGCGTGACTTGACATTTAAATACACAAACTAAATGTTATAACACTTATAAGTTAGGAAATATATTATATGAACTATATAGTGTTTAGTCATTAGTTGTATCAGCAAACACAACCAATGAACACGAAATAAATAAAACTTTACACGTAAATAAAAATATAACTTGTCTATACCCTAATGATAACTCTATCTATATTTCCAGCTGAGTAATAACTAGACCACTCTCATAAACGTTTGTACAAGTATAATTGAATTCAAGAACTAAAGAAAAATGTTCTCCAATTGGAAGAATTAAAAATTATGTATTAAACAATAATTTAGACTTTGAACTTAATACGTATGTATGTATATATATATATACTTTCAAGAGTAAGTCTGACAGAGAGAGTAACCACCTAAGGATGACAGTTTTCATATTTTCAATATAATGTAACTTGTGTCGTAATGTACTTTTCTAGTTTTTTAGTTCTAGAAATAAAATAGTTAAATAATAATAATTTTAAAATGAATGGAAGGTGAGATTAAACATTTAAGACAGATTATTTTATATTTTTCTTAAGTATATTTCTACAAAGAAATGTTTTTAAAACAACTGCACTTACCTCTATAGCAGTAACTGCAGGATGACCAAAACAACAAATATAACCAAAAGTATCAACCACTCTATAAGTGATTATGGTAGCTACCAGGCTGTGTTGTATACTCCAGTACGTCATTGCTATTCCAAAGCTAACAGAATAAAATGTTTGTTGTTTTATAACATGAATAAATATGGCACAATCTTCTGAACGAGAACTATGAAAGTTACAAACGTTACACTCAAATTAACAAAATATATTAGCTGTCGTTGAGATCTCGAAAAAATATAATAACTGAAATGGCAAAATTACCATCTCTACTGTTCCATTATACCACTTTGATCTTTGTTCTACCAACACAGTAGCATTATCTTAAATTTACTTTTAAAACACCATCACTATTGCTGTTCTTTTATCTGTAGAGTGCAGTAATATTAGTTCTCCACCTACAGGATAAACATATTTAACCTTTTTATACAGTACCAACATAGTTGATATTCCTATGTCGCACCATAATCTTTGCTTTCCTTGCGTCAAGGTGTTGTAACTTTTCAGTCGTTAGGTATTTCGTTTTGGATTATTTTGGAAAATATACTTCCAAGTCCATTCCACGTAACGATAAAGCTGGTTGTTTTTATTATATATTGCTTCTTCCTTTTCACAGTGTTTGCATTCTTTATTCACATACAGTCGTCGAGATGAATCATCAGTATTTCCAAGGTTCCGTTCAGGATGATGTGAAAGTTAGTTAAACTCTTTGAAGATTACCTAGCTTTTTGAAATGCGATAATCTGCAAACTAATTCAATGCTACATGATCTGGCTGAAGTGCGAACGTTTGTCCGTACAACTGCTAATGATAATGACTTATGTATCATAAAAAATGTAGTAGATTTTTCCAAGATATACAGCATCTTTCTGCAACCATCCATTGCCGCGGTATAGTAGATAATCACATACTATTTGTGGTAAAACTGTTATCTTTTCATTCTCTTGTTTATTTATGCGATCAACACTCCAACGAACCTTGTTGAGTTTTTGAAATAATTGATATAGAGGATGAGCTATGCTAGAGAATGGTTTTAGTAATAACATTGTCCAAGGAATACTCTTACCTCACCGTACTTCTTTGGTGTTAGCCAATAATGAATAGGTTCAATCTAAGATGGATCTTTGGGCACTCTCTTTCTCTGACAATATGTTCTGGCAAACTCGTTTATTGACAGAACAATTCACACTTATCCAGAACTTTCATAAACATTATCAAGTGTTTCCCATGTATGAATATATTATCCAAGTAGCTGAGTACGGTGTTCCATTTCCTCTCAACTGACAATTTGTCCCAGGAAACTCATATATTGACAGAAAAGTTCACACTTCTTGGAATTTAGCTTAATGTTCTATTTACTCAGTCAATAGAAAACTTTCATAAACATTATCAAAGGTCTTCCCACATTGGATTATATTATCCAAGTAGATGAGTACGATGTTCATGGATATATCGGAGAGACCACATTCAGTTAGTCAACAAGATGTACCAGACACATTACTTATTCTAAATGGTAACACAACAAATTGCCACAATCCATTATTTCACAGTAATGGCTATTTTCTCTCTACTTGCTTGGTCGATTTACATTTCCCAATAAACATACTTATGATCCAATGTTGAAAACCATTTTCATACAGGTAGAACATTCAAAATCGAATAAATCCTTGACAGAGGGTAGATATCCTTCCTTCTGACTTCATTCACCTCCTGGTAGTCAATTCAAAACCCTGAGGATCAAATTTATTTTTCTTCTTCTCCACAAGTACAATAAATGAATCAAAGGAAATAGCACTTAGTTCTATCACTTCTGTCATAAATGTTGGGCTACATTTCCAGTATCAATCTTATGAGATATTTATTTGTTTGGCCTAAGTCATAAGGCCTGCTGGAGAAGTTATCTTGATCTTCTATGAGCAAGTCACGTCACATATGGCATTGATCAACTAGAATACCTCTACAGCTCTGGTCATATGACTCTTATAAGTAAGGTGGTAAGCTGTGATTTGCACATCAGAATTCCTATATTTTGCCTCAAAGATGACAACACTAAATATTTTAAAACATCTTCACTATTGTTGTTCCTTTATCTATACAGTACAGTCATATTTGTTCTACACTTACAGCATCGACATCTTTAATCTTGTTATACAGTACCAATATATTTCTTTTCCTTGCGTGAAGGTGTTGTAACTTCTTCAGTCCTTGGATATGTAGAGTTTCATATGTTTCAATGTCCCATCTGAATGGGTTCGAAATTTATTGTTTCTTGTATTCGTGACCCAAATTATGACATTTATATTTTTGGGTCCACGGGAACTCATTCAACCACCTCAGGACAAACTATAGAGTTCAGGTCTATCTGCTAGGCCTACCGTGACTATTACCAGAGCCTTGTTAGTCACTTCACTTTCAGTGTTCTTGATAGGCCTTCATGGTTAGCGAAACAGACATCAAGCCAAAAAAATTCCTCACCATACTTTACCTTATCAGGTTAAATTCCATACTGGCAATAACTTTCCTCTCTTG